TGGCTGGCATGTGGTGCTGGGGGATCGAACCGTGGTCCCTGTGCTTTGCCAAGCTTGTTCCAAGTAGGTGCTTTAGACCACTGAGCCATCTCGCCAGCCCCGTAGATGTTTCTTGATAGCAGCTTTATTTGTAATTACCAAAACTTGGGGCAAAACCAAGATGTCCTTCCAACAGGTGATGGAGGAACTGGTGCATCCCATTGTAGAATGACGCTTGGCTTTTGATCCGTGCCAAAACAGGAGATGGCCTAATTGTCTTCTGTTGAATGAAAGTGGCAAGGCCATGAGGTTATGTACCCCATGATGCCATTTATAAGAGATGCTGAAAAAGGTAGGAAGGAAGGGTGGGCCACAAAAGGAGAGCTGTGCCAATGGAGGTGCTGCTGTGGTTCTGCTGATCTATTTTTACTTTTTGTGGTAGTGGATTTCAAACCCAGAGCCTCACACATGCTAAGCAGGAGCCCTACTGTTGGGCTACATCCCTAATCCTTTTTCCTTTGGTGATTTTATAGGACCCCGTGCCACCCACAGCTTTTGCCTACAGGTGAGCACACTGGGGAGGAGGAGATGGGGTGGGCCAGCACTTCCCTCTTTGTGCACATACCCACCCCACCTTGGTGTATTTCCAGTGAGAAGCCTGCACGGAATGGGTTGGGAAAGGCTGGAGGACAGGACAAGTGATATGGGACAGTGCAGATCCCAGCATACCCAAGAGAATCCTGCTGTCTCTAGCAAGGGGACACTTCCCTTGTGGTCAGTGGGCTACTCGGGAACTGTGCTTTTGCAGACAGGAGACCATGTCTTAGAGGAGAACCGACCACTCAACATCCTGTGATTGGCGTTTTGGTGATCTCCTTTAGCCATATCCGCTCCAGGGCAGTGTCAAAGGCCAGTACCATTTTATTAACTGGTGATTCTGTGATCAAAGGCCTGGAAAGGACTGAGGATTGCTTACCTGTGCCCCTTATGCCTGGGGCAATGTTTTGGGGGTATAGCCTGCTGTTTCTGAGGTCCTCAGGCCGTGTGCAAGTGCCGTGGACTGGTCCTTGCTAGCTCCTGGGCTGGGCAGGTGCATCTGGTGGGGCTGCTCTGGGCATACAGCCCTCATGTGGCCCTACTTGGGTTTGCTTCCAGTATGTTTGGCCTCCATGTAGTACAACCTTTGTATTGTCAGCCTCCTCACATGGGAGTCCACAGAAGCAGGAACCTGTGTGGAGCAGGGCTGGCTGGAGGCTCAGGGCACGGGGGCTTGTCATTTTGCCAACAGCCAAGATGAGCAGGCCTGTTGCAGTTAAAGGAGACTCCCCACACCTGTGCACTATCATAGTGTCTTTCTAGGGTCTCGGGCAGGGAAGTCATGGGGAAGAGAGGCCTAGGGTTTCCGTAATTTTAGGACAAGTGATGACCCAAACTACCCAAAGTGGCTACTGTCCAAGTGAATGTAATTTCAGTTTCATTTGTGTAACTGCCAGGCAGTTATGTATAGTTCATTATAGAACTTGCAAAAGGCTTGTCAGTTGTTCCATAAAAGCATCCAGGGCCAGGGAGATAGCGCAGTGGACTATGTGCCTGCTTAGGCAAGCACAAGGACCTGGGTTTGCTCCCTGGTACAGCATGCTGTGCTGGCCCCACCCACGGGTGTGCTGAGTCAGCCATCAAGACCCAGTGTGGTGGCACATGCCTGCAATCCCAGTGCTGGGGAGGCTGAAAACAGGAAGATCACTATGAGCCCAAGCTGTAGAACGAGACCCTGAACCAAATATATAAAATAAAAAAAGGGGGAGCATCCATAGTTTATACCCAGCGCTTGGCTGTCAGCCCCTCTGTGGGGTCCACTTAAGCAGGCACAATTATGTCAAGATACACCTGCCACAGACTGCAGTGTCCCCACTTTGCCCTCTTTTGGAGGTAGGACAGCTCTGGTGGCTGAACAAGGGACCCAGCTCTGCCTTTCCCACAACTGCCAAGTGTGAGTTGGTTGGTGTGGGTGTGTTTATGGCAGAGCAAATTCTAGTCAGAGTGAGACTTGTTTCTGGGGATGTGCTGCCTTCGCCAGAGGTAGGTTATTCCCTGAAGCAGGAGGGTAAGCTTGCTTTTCACTTGCTGGGAGTGTGACAGTCTTGCTTCTCCTGATGGGGGCTGAGTTAGAAGTGAGCCTTCTAGGGTTGGCCAAATAGCTCAGCTGATTAAAGTTCCTGCAAGCGGGCTCAGAGACTGGGGGTTCCATCTCTGGGTCTGCCATGCCCACCCTGCCCCTGGGGTGTGCTGAGACAGCAATTGAGACTGGGCGTGGTGATGTGCACCTGTAATCTCAGCTCTTGGGAGGCTGTTCACAGGCAGATCACTATGAGTCGGATTAGTGGTGAGACCCTGAACACCCTGTAGACTCTCCTCCCCCACCCCCCAAAAAAAAGTGAGTCTTCTAGACTCAGCCCCTGGTGCCACTGGGGGTATGTGATCAAGGATGTGTCTGTGACTGGTGTTCGGGCTTTAGCTATGGGTGAGGAGCTCTCCTGCTACGACTGCTTCCAAGGCACTTGTGAAGCAGTCTTTCCCTGGCCAGGAACGCTGCCTTCCCAGAGCAGGCTGCCCATGAAATGGACCACACAGCAGTGGCTTGGTAGAAATGATTTTATTTAGAAATCTGTACCGTGTGACATCAGGGTGCCATGCAAACAGTGCTGAAGCCAAAGCCTGGTCACTTTCCCATGAAAAGTTGTTGCCACTGAATGCTGATTGGTGCTGGATACCATCTGTGTGAAATACAAAATCTGGAAACATAAATGTTGATCAGCAGAACATAATCGTTATAGAAAAGCCTGAAAACAGTGAGTCACATGTGCATGGAAGGGACAGTTCCTTTTATGTCCATGTAAGCAGGGACACACATTGGCATTAAAAAAATCAACATTATATCACAAGTCACAGCCTTCCTAGAAGTACCACTAGCTGGTTCACTAAGGAACCATTAATTCTAAAACATAGAACAACCTTGGGTCTGGTGGTAGGCAATGCCCAGATTAGCACCAGGCATCTGAAAGGTCTGGTGCTAGTGTAGGGGTCTGACCGGATGTCTCCCTGACCCACTGTACCCTGTCTGTCCTATTCCCAGGTCCCTAGCCACAGGGGCTCCCCACTTGCTGAGCCAATTTTAATACCAGCTGTTGGGAGACCAGGAGCTCAGGGAAGGGCTTGATACAACTGAGGTGGCAAACTTCACGTCTTGGTCCGACAAAGCACTAGTGGCGGTGCACAGCTGAAGGAACACAGTGGATAGGTGTGCGCATGCATGGCTGCTGACACAGGTGGGCAGCCCTGCATCCCCCGGGCCATAGGGCAAGCGAAGGGACACTCTCAGGGTCCATGAGTGGCATCCCTACTCTTGACTGTCTAGTGCCCTTTGCTGGAGCGGAGCTTTTGCAGAGAGCCTGTGATCACTGCCCCTCTCTGAAGCTGGGGTCAGGGGAGGGCACTGAGGGAGCAGCTGCCACAGCAGGAAGCCTAGCTGAGACTGGCTGCTTTCCCTCACTGACTTGGCAGCTCAGGGCGTGGGATGGTGGAGGTCTCCTGGAGGAGGCACGGGGTGGGTGGGAGTATGGACCCAGCAGAGCCCGCCTGTCCACAAGCTTTGGCCCCTACGGAAGATTTTAGAAGCCTTGGAGCCCATGGGTTCAGCACTGAGTTTTTGGTCCTTTTAAGCGAACATGGAAACACTGTTTCATAAGCAGCTATGTTTGGAATCTGTTAGTTAAAGGTGAATGGGTGTTGGTTTTTATTTTTTTAAGAGTGGGTTACAGAAGGATAGGATGAAAGTCACTCATCTAGGAAAGATAGGTGGTAGGTTAAAAAAACTCTGGGGAAAGTTTACTTATTGTATTTTTTTCTTTTTTTTTTTTTTTTTTTTTATGGAACCAGGGATTGACTATGTAGTTCAGGCTGTCCTTGAACTCACTATGTAGCCCAGGCCAGCACTGAATGTATAGCAATTTTCCTGCCTCAGTCTCTGGTGTGCTGGGATTACAGACTTGTGTCACTGTACCTGGCTTTCTATTTTCATTTTTAAACTTGAATTTAAATTCTTGTTTTGGGGGATTGAACTCAGATCCTTGAGCTTGCCAGGGAAGCACTTATTCTACTGAGCCATCTCCCCAGCCCCTTAAATTTTAACTTCTTGCAGAAACAAGATCACCGAACTCTTGTGCCCACCCTGTCCCAGGTCCTGGGGAGAGCCAGTTCTGGGTGCTGGGTCAGTGTTGGAGCTGACTTTGGCCCCCATGTGGAGTGGCCATGGGTGAGCTCCTCTGAGCCTTCACCTCTTGACCTGGGGAGTGTGTGGGGGTGGGGGGGCCTACGTTCCTCGGGCTCTGGGTGCAGGGCAGCCTCAAGCAGGTGGCCTGAAGTGGCTCCTTGCTCCCCAGCTGCCTCCTGCAGTTCTGGTGCCCACTGGACTCCCACGCTCAGTTGCGTCTTCGGCTACTGGAATGTGGCCTTCATCCTCCGTAGTTTGTCCTGGATCTTCCGAGAATGCTTCTCACTGGGGATCTGGTGGAAATTGGCCCTGTTGTCTGCTGCTAGGATTGAAATGTCGGCCCCGCTGAAACGGGCGATCCTTTGCTTGAGGTGTGACTGCAGCTTGGGGTCAGGGCTGAACGTGTAGGGGTTCTCCTGGAACGCGTGGACCTGGCTCACCACCTTGGCTATGTTTCTTTTGTAGGGAAAGGAAAGACATGTTAGTTTGTGCAAATCACAGAAGCTGTGCTGTGGGCTAGCAAGTCCTAGTATGTTCTAGGAACTGGTCAAACTAACCCTTTTTCCTAAAGTACAAAAATCAAAGGGCAGGAGCCGGGGATATAGCTCAGTGGCATAAGTGCCTGCCTGGTAAGCACAAGGTCCTGAGTTCAATCCCTGATACTGCAAAAACCAAACAAACAACGAAAGGCAGGTTTTCTGCACTTGTTCTCAAGGCCCAGCCTCACGTTTCATGTGAATGGGCCTGTCTACCCGTCTGCTCACACTTCACCAGTTTCCTGAAAACTTTCTTTTTTCTTTTCTTTTTTTCTTTCTTTTTTTTTTTTTTTTTTTTTTTTTTTTTTTTTTTTTTTTTTTTTTTTTTTTTTTTTTTTTTTGTATTTTAGGGTAGGGTCTACAGGGTGTTCAAGGTCTCACTACTAGATCGGACTCATAGTGATCCACCTGTTTACAGCCTCCCAAGAACTGGGATTACAGGTGCGCGCCACCATGCCCAGTCTCAGTTGTGGCTCAGCTTGCCCCAGGGTGGGGCCGGCACCTAAAAACATTCTGTGTCAGTTCTATTCGAGCTGAGAGTTCCAACATGGATAAAACTCAGTGCTGGCTATTGGTGGCTCTGAGTCTGAAAGGAAGTATGAGATAGACAAAACTCTGCATGGCATCTTTGTCAACCCATGCCACAGGGCAGCCCCCAGCACTAACAGTCCAGGGAGTTCTAGACAGTGGGCACAGGGCCTTATTTTGCTGGAGAACCTGTTGTACACTGTGGCCACATACCGTTAGGGTAAAGCAGGAAAATTGAAGACTCAAAGCCCTTACTTCTGCCTGACCCAGCAGACAGGCTTTCCCACCTGTCTGGATGTCCAGTATTTCCAGGATGAATGATGTCACTTTTATTCATAAAGGACCTCCACGTCCTCATGCACATCCACACAGAATTATGAACAGATGCTGGATCACCCGTGCTCCTCCAGACGGTGTAACATTACCTCTCATTTTAATTTCCTTATTCCTGGTGGGCTTTTTTTTTTCCCCTCTTTAAAGAAATAAGTGTATTTCTGGTGCATATTAATTATTCTTTTAAGTTGATGATTATCTAAAAGGGAAGGCTGCATGGACAGTTTGCGACCCACTGTACACTGAGTCGTCTGGGCCTCTGTATACCCAGTGAGGCTGAGGCTTGAATAGGATGCACTTGGGTGTTCGTGTGGACAACAGAGAGCAGGGACAAAAGGATAGGAGGTGATGGAGAGGGGGGTGATGGGGAACAAGGAGAAAGTGAGGCTGTTCTGGGGACCTGGGACACAACCTTGGACAGGACTGGGCCTGTGAGGAGAAGCCGACCTGCCTAGGACCTCTTGAGAAAGAAATGAGAGCCAGGCTTCTCTGAGGCTGTGAGGTATGCAGGCCCACGGGGTTCACCATGGTGGGTTTGACAACAGCCTCTGTCTGCCTTCCAGGCAGTGGGGGGAGGGTCCCACGTGTGCTCAGCAGGTGCACAGAGGAACTTGGGAGTGGACAGAGGACCAACCATAGGTCCTGTGTGGACAGGGAAGAGGAGCCCGAGGGGAGGAGAGGGAGCAGGAAAACCCAGGGCCCCAGGTGAGGGATATGCAGGTCACACTCAGGGCAGCCTGAACGCTGCATATACCAATGAGCTGGGGTAAGGTGTTCCTGAATCCCAAACAGGGAGGTCACCAGCAACCACTGCAGTGGGAGTTGTGACAATGGGCACCAGAAGAAAATACACCAAATTGTGGAGGAGTGGCTAGAACTGAGCCTGGTATAGGAAGTGCTAGAGCTCTGGGAGGGGCGAGGGCTGAGCCAGGGATTCTGAAGAGCGGCGAGGACTGGAATCTGCATCCATAGGCTCCGCTGGTTAAGCTGAGCCTCCCTCACCTGAGCTTGCTCCATCTGTGGGCTCCGTTGGTCATGGTGAAGCCCCCAGTCTCTAGCTGCTGGATGTGCATGGCCAGGAGGCGGGCGGAGGGCAGAGTAGGCTGGGCCCTGAAGCGGCGTCCTTCCATCAGACACAGGCTGTCACTCTTCAAGAACACCTGGTGGGGCCGTGGGCAGAGAGGGACAGAGGAGTGGTCAGTCCAAGGTGAGGCTCGGATGGAACGGTTCAACTGTCCAGTTCCCGAGAGTACCTGTCCTCCAGGCACACAGCTCCCCAAACGCCTGGTTCAAAGTGAACCTGGGTTGTGGGTTGAAAGCCTGGCTATCCCAAGCTTGCTGGCACAAAGCATGACATTGACAGAGAAATCTTTCTTTACACTTGGTGCTGTTCATGTGGTAAGTTGCCTATTCTCTCTGCCAGACCCCAGAAAAGAGCTAGAGAGTGATCTGACCTTTCCAAATGAGGTTTATGCTGGGTACTGCAGGCCCCATTTCTCTGAGTGTGGGACTGGGTTTTGGGGGCAGTGACTGGTCCCCCTCCCTTCCCCAGAGCTGTGTCTAGGTGTGAGGCTGGGCTCAGGCACAGGCTGTGCTTGCTGGTGGCACTGCCATAGGCCCACACTGCCAGCAGCAAAGCTCCTGCTGCCTCACTGAGGGAAGTGCCTGGTCCCTTCCGCAGCATTTCCGTAGCTCCTTAGGCCACCTCTGTGCTAGGAGCAAGCTTCCTGCTTGGCCCTGGACTGCAGACCTGTTCCTGGCCTGTGGACACTCAGATCCTGTCCTGGGAAGTCAGACCTGCCCGTCATGTGACCTGGAAGGTGGGCACTTCTGCCCAAGTGGCTGGGCTGTGAATATGTTTGGGGTTCTGAGAGGTGGCACTGTGTGGCACCCGGGGCTGTGCACAGCAAGTCTTTCCAGGGTGGCTCTGCCATGTGCTGGTACCTCCACAGCTTTGAGCTCCTCCATGACCTCAGCGATTTTTGCAGGTAGGATTCTCCAGGCCTGAAATGGAAGTGCAGGTGAGACCCCTGCCGACCCACGTGCTGAGCCTACACCCACAGCTCCAGGGCCCCGGATGAACGCACAGGGGACTGCCTCACGGCCGGGTGCTCCAGTCCGCCCAGGATCTGCATGGCTGTCGCAAAGTTCCTCTGCTCATAGCAAGATTTTGCAATCAGCAGAAACTTAGAGAGCAAGTTCACCTGCAGCTGAAATGAGAAAATGACAGATTCAGTGTTTTTAAAGATGAACAGACGACTCAGTGTGGAATGCTGGTCAGAGATGCGTGAGACCCTGGGTTTGATCTCCAGCACTGCTAAAATGACAGCAAACAAATAAATGAACAAACAAAACACCAAGAAAACCCAGACAATATTTGAGAACCTGTTGCCCCATCTTCAAGGCACAGACAGGTGGGTGCATGTCTCCAGGGGCTGGCCATGGGTTGGACATTACCTGAAACAGCAGAATCCACCACAGCAAACCTCTAGAGGGCTCTCACTAGGCCAGGAGGGGGACAGGTGGGAAGGCCACTGCTTCTGGGCCAGGCAAAGGTGCCCCAACCTTGGGAAGATGCTACTACATCTACATGCAAAGAAACGAACAGATAGCTCTTTGATCCACCCACTGGGTGGACGGCAGGAAGGGCTCTGTGTAGCTCAGCGCCTCAAAGCCATCGACTACTGTGATGCATTTGCCTGCTTGACCAGAACGCCCCATGGGCAGCAGATGAGGTTCTTACTCCTTCCAGAAAAATCTTCCTGGGGCTACATTCATGGACCTGGGTCCTGTCCTGCGCACACCTGTAACCTAGTAGACCTGTGGGCAGTTCTGGAGAAGTCAGCTGTGCCCTTGCTTCTGAGCTGCCCACCCTTGTCACCAGGCCCATCATCCTGCAGGTGGGACTAGGACTACAGACTGCAGCGGGTGCTTCCACCGAGCCTGACCTTGTCTGCTTGGTCCTGTCACAGTTGAGGATCACCCAGAGGGCTTCTGGAGGTCAGTCATTTTAAACCTCTCGAGAGGTACTTTTTTGCTCACAATTATTTTATTAATTTTTTTTTTTTTTTATTTTAGTAAGGGTTTACAGGGTCTCACTGAGTAGATCAGATTCATAGTGATTCTCCTGTTTACAGCCTCCCAAGTGCTGGGATTACAGGTACACACCACCATGCCCAGTCTTAGTTGCTGCCTCAGTGTGCCCCAGGGGTGGGGCCAGCAAGGCAGGCCGGGGATTGAACTTTTGACCCCTGTGTCTGCCTAAGTAGATGCTTTAATCTGCTGAGCTATTTGGCTGGCCCTGCTCACAATTATTTTATTTTATTTTTTATTTTTGACAATTATTTAAGACCTTTATTAACAGGTGCTTGCAGTTTGTTGACTTTTTTGAAAAAAATCAAGTTGTAAACTTTTATTACAAATTAAAAATGAAGTTCTTAAAAATCTCAGCTTAACCAGATATGAAACAATTTAAAAACCTTTAAAGGTGTATTGGGAAAAAAACCAAGCTTTT